AGCCGCGGCTCTTGCCGTCTCCCGGAGCGAAGGGGTTAAGGGGATGTAGGCCTACTAACAACACAAACTCAGTGTACTCCCTTGAAATTTAAAATGTCAGTTTACACATTACCGGTAATAGGATTAAAATTGCCTTCACAGTCACTGCTGAGAGGATAAATCGTGTAAATTCTGTACATTGATCGCTGCCGTGCACGATACTGATGTATAGAATAGATCATCGGTTGATCCCTACTTCTGGCATCGCTCTGAGCCCTTAGCAAAGCTCGTACATCCTCAGCACAGCAGACAAGATCAAGCAACACAAAACAAGCTCTGCTGCAAACTCATTAATAAGCATGAAATCTGTGGTGCATGTAAGTGACTTGAAATGGCAAATGCATACATACCAGTATGACATACTCCTCAACAGGAGAACAGACCTACACAAGGGAGTGGGGGGTAATGGTTGATGAAAAGAACAATACAGGCCATGCGGGGTAACAGGGGAAGGAGGGCAGGGGGGCGGAGCAGGGCAGAAAGGGGAAGGGGGAGTTTCTCCATGCACCTAAAGACGTTTCTTTCCTGAAGTCAATCTCTTTCATTCCAGATGGAGGGTTACAAACAGTGCACGGAAGGAAAGCGAATAAAAATCACTTTCTGCACAGAATTCCAATAAATGAGAGAACAGGGGAATGACAGTTGAAGAACTACTGTGAGGTGATCATACTTGCAGGGGATAAATGTCTGTGTTAAGTGTGGTGAAGAAAACGTACAAGTGCATCGAGAATGGAAACATCAAAAAAAGTTTGTGGGAAACACCAAAAAAGGACCCTGTACACCCTTCCTAAAGCCACACCCAGTATTCCTGAAGTTGGTACCACAGCCTTTGATTGGCCACAAAAAGTATCTTTTCAAACAGGCTTTTTCTTTAATCATTTGTATACAATGAGGGAACCTGTTACATTTTCATTTTTTTTTCAAATCAGCAATTGAACTGAACGAATGTGTATAGACCCTTTCCTCCCACGTGACTAAATGTAAACAATACCACCACGTGTGGACCGCCTTGGCCACGGTGATCGCATATATTCCTACGGGCAGCTTCAACCATGTGCAAACGCTGCATGCTTGATTAGTATATCTTGAATAGGTAGATTACCATCACAGCACTATGCACTCATTACCATCACAACACATCATAGGTCCAGCACGATTGTGACATCACAGGAAAATGGTCTATATCAAACGACTATGCAATATACATGTACACTGGCATACACATTTGTACATAGAAAAGGCTTCAGTCTAACAAGTATCTTTTTCCTTCTTTCTAACAGCTGAAACATGCATGAGAATAAAAACAAGAGCTTGAAATTTAGATGGAATTACACCGGAGGTGGTTCCCTGAGCTCTGTATTCCAAGTCACGTCTGAAACCTGCTATGGCTAGGTCTTTCATCAGCTTGCCCTCACGTATTTGCAACCGGCAAAGGCCTAGTCCAGGACACAAGATTCTTACCTGCTCAGTGTTGGCAGTGTAGGGAAACATGGTGGATGCCAGACCGCACAGGAATGGAGCGCTCATGCAGACTGGCTTGAACTCGGGGAGGTTGTGGTACAAGTAGAGCAGGAACTGAATGAGAGTGACTGGGTACTCCTGAATCCAGGGAATCTCCTCATCTGGGTCCACGGTCTTTGGGGGGAGGGAGGGGGAATTAGCAATGGAGCAGCTTTAAAATGAGTTTCAAGATTTGTCCAAAACATTTTTTAAGGGTTTAAATTAAAGAATTTGACGCAGCGCGGCACAAAAAGCATAACTTTCGTCAAGTCGCCTTTTTGGAAGCAAGGACTTTTTGGATGAAAAGGCAGATTTTTCTTACACCAAATTAAAGTACTTTTTATGACCAGGTAAAAATTGTACTTCTCAAGCTGTTAAATCAATATTTAATCATCTATTTGAGACAATGTATCGAGAACTTCCTAAGCAATACAGTGAAACGCCGCTATACCGAACACCGCTATACCGAACATTTAGCATGGACCCCGTCTTGTTCATTATAGCGGCGTTCCACTGTAGTTCACCGATACCAATGTCACTGCCTCAGCATGTATACAACTGAATGCTGGACATTTGATGACAGAATATCACCAAACGTAAAATTATCCGAAGGTAAACACAGGAGGCTGCATATCGGCAGGTTATCTACACATTAGCCAGAACCATCATGCAAAATTTGATCTCTATTTGAAATACGGCAAACCAACACAAAACAAAACGGTCCGCTCTTTTGACATCACAGTTGTGTTTTTCCTACAAGTGACTGCTAAAACTATGGCTGGCCGTCGGTACAAAAATAAAGGAATAATTCACAGAGTGTTACAAATCAAATGCAGCTACCAGAACACCAGATAATAATGAAAATACAACCCTATTTAAAATTAATGGGACAAATATCAATTTTAAACGAATCTGAGGTAAAACCGAAAACCAATCAACCAATCCTAACCCGCCGTCAGAAAGTGTGCTAGTGGGTTGTCGAGGAGCTTTGCCTAACTACGACTTACGTGGTTGAGCATTGCTCTGATCTGAGCCAAGATGACCAGGATCGCGTCCGTGCAGATGTTGGTGGGTACTCGGCCAGACAGCGGCTGGTTGGTGGGAACGCCGAATATGAACTGCCACATGGAATTCAGATCCAGCTGTCGGGAAAGCACAGGTGCCAGACTATAAGCCCGGGGCAGATTTGGTAGGGCCATGCTGATATTGGCATGCCCTGTATACCTTTATTGCTGGTGGTATGTATACATATGCAAAGTAGTGTACAACCGAATGTGTCCCTTGGCTTCCAGTGTCATATACATGTACATGGAAACTGAATTTAGTTCCCTGATCTTTACGATTCCAACATCCTGAACATCAATGTGGTACCCAGCACTGATACAGAGATTTTATACAGCGTATGAGAAGAATGGCACGGGTGTACACAATCATCTGCTCCTCACAGGTATCCATTTATACTCCTGGGTAAAGACAAGCACTTCGACTAATGTCACATGACGAGGATCACAACATGTAACCAGCCACTGGATCTGAACCCTCCCCACCTCTGACCGAGAGCTACAAATATCTGTTTGGTTGCAGATGCAAAACGCAACAGGTGGGCCACATTAACCCTAACCCTCCTCAATCCTTCACCTGTTGGAGGACTGAGGAGTGTTAGGGTTAAACTCAAAGTAGAAAAATTCCCTACCAACTACATGCATTTCCCTACCTGGCAGTTCTCCGGCAGCTCCCTGACGGGCTGGCCCAGGGACATGGCCATGAGCAGGAAGTAGAGTTCGGGCACGCTGGCATGCTTGGGCAGCAGCCACTGTAGCACGGTGAAGCCCGGCATGTGGCAGGCCTCCTGGTTGATCTCACGGTTCTGTAGCCCCTTCTTGCCCTTGCCCAGATTGAAACCTGCAACAACGCAGAGAGGGAAAAACTGTGTGTATCTGGCAATCCACCCTTCAGGTTCCTGGACGGGACATTTGGGGATGCAGAGAAATGAATAATGCATCCAGCACAAAGGTTGAAGCAATGACAACAAAATACCGTGACTTATACGAACTCTTACTAATTAAATCTACATGGCACGCTCAATTTCGTGCATGTCAGATGCAATACCTCCTCTACAGCCCCTCCCCCCCGAGAAACCTACCCAGGACCACGCCCATTCTGTTCTGCAGCACCGCCTCCGTCTTCTCCAGCCAGCCGCCACCGTACGTCCCGTCCCGGAACTTGCCGATGGCCGACTGGCTGTACAGCATGCTGACCAGGATGCGCAGACCCATGATGACCGTGCTGGCGTGGACGTGGCTCTGCATGAAGAGGAGCAGCCAGTCATAGCCCAGGACTTTATGGATCTCCTCGCAGTTGCTGTCCAGGAGAAAAATACCCAACAATATCCCTTCAATGCGCCGAGAAAGAGATCAAGTATCCACAGCTGCTTCATAGATACTCAGAAGCCTTCACAACAGTACCTGATTCTCGACAGACGTGTAAGCCACGGGCTACGACGTGCCTCTGTTACCGTTCATCCAATGGAAGCATCAGAAGTCCTTCTGCACTAACATCAGGCATTTCCCACAAACCTTTTCAATCTAAAATGTTTTGTCAGCATAAGCTTAAAATGGTCTCTACTGTCTGTGGCTTTGGACTTTCACCACGGTGTGCTAATGGAAAAATGTGCAGCCCCAGCCACAAGATGCCTAATTCTGAAAATATGGCTCAACGCCAAAGGCATCAGATCAAATCGGGACACCGGAGATTGACGGGCATGAAATAGAAAGAAAAGGACACTTCTGGACCCCGGTCACTGAAAAAGGTCATGTCCACAAGTTATGGCTATGGCCGAGAACAACATGGGGCTACTGAAATTAATGGCAGTAGTCGCTTCCCATAGACACGCTACATGAAGTCATAGCCAGTTAATTTAATCACATCCAAAGTTGAATGTCTAAGAATGGATAACAGATTTCAAATCAGTTAAGAATCCTCTACTTTGTTTTGCATTTACCTGGGGCTGATGCTGTGCGAGCTGGGAGCGAAGAGAAGTTTCAAGATGACGTCCAGGAGGACGTTCCTCAGGTGGATGTTGTGAGGAGACACGGTCCCTGTCCAGTCCTCCGAAATACTCTCATTGTCTGGGTCAAGAAAAACGCCCCAAAACTTACAAAGGTGTTGCCATGGAGATGACACAGTGGGGTTTGATTTCATTTATAAAAAATGGTCTCCGAGTTTACTCAGTCACAAGATTTTCACTTGATAATGGTCACAAATGTCTGACACAGTGTTCAAACATACACGGCTAATATACTCGCAAAAATAATGTCAGATCTCTTTTCCCAAGTTCTTTGTTTGATTTTTTGTTCACCTCTGCTTCCTCTCTGCGAGTCGGTGTCCGAGACGAGACACTGGAGTTCATCAAGGGTGACCATCCTCTCGTCTGCTGAGAGATTGGGCAAGGTGGATGCCAGAAACTGACCGAACCTGCAACCAAACAACAAAAAGCATGGATTTGACAGTAAATCCAAAATGCATTGGCTCACGGCAGATGGCACAGTATTTGAGTGCAGCTTGTGACTATAGCACAATCACACCCGTCGGCTAAGGTACTAACGTCCTGCTCCTGGTTCCATGATTCCCATGTCACACTGTGTCAGAGGGCGTGTTTTCAGTTGCAGCAAGGTCACTCTCGCTAGTCCAATTGGGACATCTGACCTTAAATTGACCCAACCGTGGTGAACACCTTGTTGCCCAACCGAAGCGATTCACATTGGTGACTTGACAATGCTTTAACTGCTACGGTATGGTGCTTTGAAGATTTGAAGATTCCAGCAGGTGAGATTGATGCAAGTTGACATACAGAGGAAATGTTTTGAAAGGGTGAAGCATTCCATGTAATGACGCGAATGGGGGATGGCAAGATTTGGTTGTAATTGCGTAATTGCAATGCGTAATTGCTGTGTGAAGGAGCCGCGTGATGTCCACTTTGTCCCACACTGTGCTACATGCTCCTGTTAATATGCGTCCTCTAATGGTACTTTTGCAATAATGTGAAAGTGCCAGCTCAATATCTAAATAACATGCGCCCAAAACGAAGGGTGTTTAGGTCAAGGACATTAGTTAGCGCAGATTGGCCTCATCAATTAACCCCGACTCACAAGCATTGACCATGTTCATACCTACATGGCATCAGTTGCTTTGTTCTTGAATGACTTTGGCTTTCTGAAATACTGAATTGACTCATTTTAACCCACCACCATCACCACGAAGGCCGACGGTGATCACTTACGACAGCAGGTCAGCGCTGCTGGAGCCCCCCTGCAGCATGACGCTGAGCAGGTTGGCAATGGACTGGATGGTGGCATGGGTCAGGGTGGGATCCTGGATCATGTACAGCAGCCGGTTGACCATGCGCAGCTGCCGCATCATCTTGCGATTCTTGTCTGCCTCGCTGGAGTCCGTCAGTAGCTCGTAGAAGTGGTCATAGAGGGAGCGCTGGAGATCATAGGGTGCGTTGTGCCAGACCTACAGTTGGAAAAAGAATGGATCCAATGACAGCGTAATCTCAAACCCACCATCTGCACCGACTTCATGACATCTGAACGAGAGGGACTGAGATTCAAGTGTTGTTGAGCGATTACTGTTCACTGGTTATTGCGAACACTACTATCACTACTTATGGCTGACTCAAAATTCATGTGAATGCACAAGGAAGCGAATTAGACGTCATAAAACATTTGTAGCCATATGTGCTTGGGTGAAGTGTGAAGTGCGATTCAACGTCACAATTTGGCATTCATGTTCAATTTCACACCAAGTATAAAACAGCCATTATAGTGAATAAACAACAACGGACTAGCTTGACTGTGTTACAGCTCATCAGGAAGAGCTTGTGGGCTTGAATTGTGACCAGGGTGCTTGAAATAAAGTTGTGGAGACTTCGGAGTACCCACGATCACGAGCAAGTGTGAGTACTTGGTGGACTACTCCACAGCAAAACTGCCACATCTTGTGGGGCTGATAAACACGAGCACACATTCGTTTGTGGCGAGAGCATTTACTTATGCAACAGCATACCACATGGGTGAGTGCAACGCGTTTGCTGTTTGTTGACTTACCAACGACAGAGAAATATCCTTTGTTCCCTGCTTTAACAGATACACGTGGGTATGATGCAAAGTTGGTATACTTTGAGTGTGAGGTCCAATACCACATCTTCTAGATTTTGAGTTTGGCACATGGATCCCGAGGCTGCGAAACTTTGCATGAACTACACTTGGTGTCTTGTTGGACTGGAATGAATGGCCATACCTCCAAGTCACACAGGAGGTCCTCAAAGGCCGTCCTGTGAGGGATGATGGTAGTCTCTCTCCCGCTGTCGATGGTTCCCACCAACGAGAAGGTCAGGTGAAGGATGTGGCTATTGAGGAGATGTTTCTTCCTCTTCAGCAAAAAGGCCAGAATCTGGGAGAACGGACGGAACGAAGAGTAAAAAATCATCAGTACGGCCAGGACACAGACAATGCTTTGAAGGGGCTACACTGCTTATCAGGCCAAGACCTTGCATCCAGGACTCAGTCCTAAGTTTTTGTTCTTTGTAAACATAAGGCAGTGTCACGTGCTGTATGTACTCTAAAAGATCTTGACCAAGGCTGAACGATGAGGAACTCACTACGCAACAGCGCTACTTAGCAAACTTATACACAAGGTAACTGGTTCCCTGCCGTATGAATGACAAAAGTTTTGGCCGGTACCCTGGACTTCCACAGGGGTGTGCTTTTCTGCTATGGAGGTTCTTCCTAACTGGGGATAAAATCTTACAAAGGATTTGACACTTGAAGAAAACAAACAGGACAACAACATGACAGGAAATATGTAAAGATTGGCAGCACTGGGATATTCTGTGCCTTTCCAAAAGCGTACCACCATCTGACAAAAGACAGGGAAAGTCTATCACAAATTTTTAGTTTTTGGTAAAACACAAATACCCTAATAATCTGACAATCTTTCCACCTGAAGAAAACAAATTGGTTGAAGAGGACAGACTTCTCTTGCCCATTAATAAATTTTGAAGTAAAAATAAAAAATAAAAAACCTGATGTGATTTGTAGGATTATCTCACTCACTTGATATCCTCTGGTCCGTTCCATCTCAGCCATAGCTGGCCCGTTGTTCTTGACCACACAGACCAGCGCCTTGACCGCCGCATACAGGCCTTCCACATCGGTGGACATCGCTATCAGCCCTAGCAGCGGGGCTGACCCCCCAATGTTTTCCAAGGTGCTGGCTACTGGTTTGGGGCAGAAGGTTCTCACACCTGTGGGAGTGGCCAATTGTGTACGGCAGAGTGAGCAATTGATATCAGTTAATATCATGCAATCTGGTAAATCTAACAGGTGCTGCTGAATAGGAGTCTAAATACTATCATCTCAGTTTGCTGGCTTCATGGCAAGATCTGTTTGATTTTCGAATGAACAGTCTTTGTAAGTGGTCATAGTTTTTACCAATGTTTCCAATGAGCACGGCCCCAAATGACCGTCCACTGCCGCTGAGGTGACAGGCCGAGTTGTGGATGATACGGATAGGGGTGGAATTCTCGTGGGTTGACAGGTTCAACTGAAATCAGAAGACAATGAGCACATTACTTGATCAGCGGAATACAGCTACGTCAGCCATTAGGGCATAGCCACCGACAATTAAAAAGTACATCCTTAAATGGGGTACTTTTCAAAATTCTCTTGTATAGGCTGAACATGTTGGATTTGCTGGCAGTACAGAAGACGCATACTGAGGATCTGTGTAGCCAGATGGAGATATCTATACATAGCCAAGTTAAGCTTAACGATAACCAGTTTACCCTTCGTTAGCATACAACACTATATTGCATAGTCTACTATACAAGTCATACTGAGTATGAGCAAGAACTTCAACAAATGTTACAACTGTTGGCACTTGTCACCTTGACAGTCCATTTGGGCTCCAGTTGAATGCAGTTGTTTACCAAACAAACTACTAAGCAGAGAAAAACCTGTTCCGCAAGCACAGGATAACAGCAAAAATGCTTAGTGGGGCACGCATTGCTTGCGCTGGTTCCCGGCCACTTTCTGCTTACTACTTCAAGTTGCTAAGTGATATTTCCAACAAAGCAGCCGCATGACGTCTTTTCTTCAGTCCTGAGGACTGAACATTGACACTACAGAGGTTCAACATCGGGCTGCCTAGTTTGGCTAGAACGGCACTTATGACAGGGCGAGTATATTTGCACAGTCTCACCTGTTTGGCCACTGACTTGCTGTCAAACTTGTTGAAAGTCTTTCTGATCTTCGAGATGGTCAGGACGGAGAGGGCGTGGGCGTGGATCCCCAAAACAATTTTCTCCTCGGGGAGCTGCAGAGCCGCCAGGTCAACCTTCACAGGGCTGAACTCTGCCAGAAAACACAATGAGATTTGCAAGTAGGGCTGTGTCTTGGAAGATGTTTGAACTCACTTTTCTGGATATTTTCCCCAAATGGATGCCTTTTGTTAGCAACTACTGCTTCCAATTAAACCCTGAAGCTCTTTGTTTGGCCAAAATATTTGGAAGGTTTTTCACTCTTTCTGGAAGACTGTGGCTGTAGGCCTGTTGACATTTCAGCTCAGTTTTGGGGAATTAAGTACAGAACAACTCTGCAAAGCAAAAATCTAGTTTTGAGGTAAAAATATTAAGAGATAGTAATTGCTAAGGACTGCAATTCCAACCAATTTTTGCTAAGCACATGAATTAAGAAACAGTTGCTTCACAAGAACAATAGTTTCTCAATAAATGATTGTTCCTGAGTTACATCACAGGAACAATCGTTTCTCAGCAGGATCTACATAAATAATGTGATTGCTTTGGAAAAGATGTACACCTTTGAACAAACAGACTTTAACCCCTTCACTACGGAGGACTGCTACTACCGCACCACTGTGTGAGGATTAGTGCATACCACACATAC